TACGATGATTTGTACAGCAGAATCGTCAGGTCTTTGTACAGCATTCGAATGTAATTGGACTACAAAAATAAAAAAAATATCAGAATGAAAATGCAAACCTTTTTTCAGTTTCTGCCTACCTTGGTGTGCGTCACACAGGAGCCCCAGTTGCGGCCGACGATGCAGTGCCAGGTGGGCTCGTACAGCTGGTCAAAGTTCTGCTTCACACTCTCGGCGATGTGCTTCTCGGTGGTGTAGGTGCGCAGCGCGTGCACCGTACTCTGCATCGCCGACTTTTGCATGTGCGGCGGCATGTCTGCCGCCTGAATCTTCAACTCGGTGGCCGGGTCGGCGGCTGCGGCATCTTCCGATGAAGAGGCAGTGGAACCGGTCGTTGCAGAATCTTCCTGTCCTGGAATGGAATGTGGTTCATGGCCGCCACCTGCCGATGAGAACCGGTGCTCGAGGTCTTTGTGAGCGTTTAGAAGGCGAATTTTAGGTCTGGGAAAAGGAGACGAGGAGAGAATGAGGTTAGTGGGTAATTTAAAAAGAAGAGAAGAAGATGCGGCGCTGGCCGCAATTCAGTGGCAAAGTAGAGGTAGAGGCGCCAATTAGAGGCGCGGCTTGATGACAGCTAGCTGTAATGAAAAGTGGAAGTTCTCGTTCTTCATCATCTTCTTCTTCTTCTGTTCTCGCTTTTCGCACGGTCGAATTACCGCCGCACTACACTGATTCTGTCTGTCTGCTTTTTCCCTTTTCTCAATTTGGTAGTTTGTCTGAGTTGATGATGGTGATGGTAATGGTAATGATGATGATGATTGTTCGTTTAGTGATATAGTAGCTGCTGCTGGCAATTCTAGCAACCACAATCAAGGTCTATTTAAGAAAAAGAGAGGTAGTAGTAGCACTTACAGGTAGCCATTAGGTGAGCCACCATTCTCGAGGACAGTAGCCGCCACTGCTCCTCCTGGCACCGCTGGTTTGCTGCCATTTCTCGACAGAACATTTCCGTTCATGTTTAGGTGATGAGGATGTTGTTGACTGGGGTGATGATGATGTGGATGGCGACCGTTTGCAGCGGCCATCGCAGCTAACGCATGTTGGTGGCCACTTTTGTCGAGGATGAACTCTAAATTGTTTATATTTAGCAGTTCTTGTAAAAGCAGAGTGTGGTTAGATTAGGTTTGTCAGGTTTCAGCAACACAAAAGTTGCTCACCCTTTCGAGCCCGTCGGTAGAAGGCGACGGCGCAGATGACCGAGTAGACGCGCAGACTAGTGAGAAAGCCGACGATCACCGAGACGAAGATGTCCACGACGCCGGTGCTTGACTGGGAATAATGAGGATAATGTAGGTTTAGGTAGAATCCTAGGAAACCTTTTTTAATTTTTGTGCTGTGTTACCTTGAGAGTGACCAGTCGCAGAGCAGTGTAGCTGGCCAGTTGGTTATACTCGGCGGAGAGCACCGGCGCCCGCATGTCGCGCGGAAAGTAGTGGTCTCGCATCACATACTATGCATATTTATGACAGTTTTGATAAAAAAATGTTTTTGTTATTAATTTCAGCTTACCATAATGACTCGCACCATGACGAAGCCGGCGCTGGCGGCGATGTCCACCGCTGCAAAGATGGCCAACAGGAGGACGGTTTTCAGGGAGACGTCGTGCTGATCAGGGGAAAGGTGAGTGAGTGTTATTGAGTGAAAAGTGTTTGCAATTTGAGCAGTGTTGGTGAGTAGGCGGGAGAGGGAGAGACGATCAAATGTCAGAAAGTGAGTGAACGATTAGTCATCAGAAGGGATTAGATGATCCAAGGAGAAAGGGGGATGACAACACTGAGGCTATCGGAAATCAAATGAAAAAGGACTTTGCATTTAATTGTGTTTTGAAACTGCTGAGGCACGTGCTATTTCGGTGACATGTGCACTCTCACTCTTTAGCTGCTTTCTTGTGTGTCAATCGGTGCCTCGTCTCTCAAGCTCACCATAACTAATCGACGACTTCTGCCGACAAGTTTGATTGTGATTCCTGATCATCACGAGGAGGGAGATTAAACGTTTGCCGCTGCGCTCTCGGATCAATGTTCGATGTTGAATAATTGAATGGTGTGTGAGCATCAAGAGAAAGATAGAGTTGGCTAAAGATGTAAGCAATTTAGTGAGCAGGGCTTCCAAAGCCATCATCCAGCTGCAAAAGGCATCATCCTCGAGTTGGCTAATTTTAAAGCCATTACCGCTCAGTGGACACACACCGCTGTGCTTGCTAGCGAATTGAGATTGAGTGTTGCTGCTGCTGCTGCTATAACTGCACATTCAATTTTTGGCCTTTTCTGCGCGCGATTACGATTATGTCGCGCCAGGAGGTGTTTCTAATGAACTCGCACTCAAACCGTCCGACTCTTGAGCATCGCATTTTTAGCTGATTCGTGGCTAGCATGGTGGCATTTTTGTTTTTTGTTTTTTGTTTTTAAGTTTGTTGCTCTGTGTTTTGCTTGTTGAAACCGTTTGTTTATACTTTTTTGCTGAGTATTGTCTTGCTCTTCTCTATGATGCCCCTAATTGAGACTGAAGTGCAGCTGACTGGCACTTTGGCTCAGCTCGATGATCAATCGCCGGTGATTGATGGAATCACTGGAGCCACTGATTTAGCTGAGGCAACAGTTGGACTGTGTGTGTGTTCCCAGCTTTTCTGTGTTCATTTGTGTTTATTCATTGTGCTCAAGTGTGCCCAGTCATAATCAATTACCTCAGTGAGCTGATGGTGCTCGGTAGTGCTCTTGAGCAACAGTTCACTGGACACACTAAATGATGAAAAATGTACAGTGGAACTGGTGCTGATGTTGGTGCACTTTAATGTCATGCAGAGGCAACCACTAGCACAGCCAACCGAAACTTTATGAACTTTTCATGAATTTTAGCTGTGCACTAAACTTGTGTGTGCTTGCTCCAAGTTTGCATAATCAAAACCACTTTTCATTTTCTCAATGCACACAGTTGAAAAACTTTGCTTTTTACTACTTTCCTCAGAAGTGACTGACTAATTAGTCAGCTGTCTGACTGATGTCTCTCCTATGGTAATCAACACAACGGTAAAAGTCAACTAAAATCGTGATTTTTAGATTGCTTTTTGCAGCAGAAAAAAATAACAGTTTTTTGTGGTCGCTACTGAAAATCTTTTTTCATCATTAGCACACAGTTTGGATCGCTTTTGCTCAGACTAATCAAAAGATCGATTTGAGCAGAGAAAAAAGGCTCTGCTCATTTCGATTGCTAATTTATACTCAATTGATTTCAATTTTAATTTTAATTTCACTACTTACCGGTGATGTCGTCTCACGAATTGCATAGGCCATCCA